ATCGAAATGTAGCAAAAATTTGACTCTAGGCCTCAAATATGGAACTTTGGACTTTCGTCGGCATAACTACTAACTAACTAACTAACTAACTAACTAACTAACTAACTAACTAACTAACGAACTAACTACTAACTAACTAACTAACTAACTACACTAACTAACTAACTAACTAACTAACTAACTCAACTAACTAACTAACAACTACTAACTAACAACTACTTAACTGACTAACTAACTACTAACTAACTAACTACTAACTAACTAACTAACTAACTAACTACTAACTACTAACTAACTAACTAACTAACTACGAACGAACTAACTAACTAACTACTAACTAAAACTAACTAACTTAACTAACTAACTAACTAACTACACTAACTAACTAACTAACTAACTAACTAACTAACTAACTAACTAACTACTAACTAACTAACTAACTAACTAATAACTAACTAACTAATTAACTAACTAACTAACTAACTAACTAACTAACTAACTAACTACCTAACTCGCAATAGTTAACCTGACGAACGCAAAACCATTTGACGCATCGAGAGTGAGAAAAACCCCTAGGTACTGTTGGAATTTTGAAACGGTTGGTAGAACCACAAAGATCCTATGGTGTGACCTTAACGAGAGCATGACGACAAGCCTTCTAAAAATAAGCAAGTCTGAGGTTAGCATGATGATACGTATTCTGAGTGGACAATTTACAAATTATTTCGTGCGAATTTCTTAAATTTTATAAAAAAAGTTTTTTTTAAGTATAATTTTCCTATTTTCTAGACGATCTTTGCAGAACTTAAAATTTATTTAAAAAAAAAATTATATAAAAATATGTGTTTATTTTTTAATAAACTATATGTGTAAATTATTTCTTGGCATTCTGTGTAATATTAGAAAAAAAAAAAAAAACTCATTTTAGTTTCCAACAACCATTTGGCCAATAAACACTTAATTTTTTTTTTTTTTTTTTGGTTTTTTGTTAGTTTCTTTCACCCATATTGTATTGTATTTTGTTGCAATATACAAAATGTTTCTTGTATTAAGTTTAAGTAATAAAATATAGTAAAAAGTAAATAATTTTTATGCAACTCATAAATAATAGAGTTAGTTGCAATAAAAACAAGCACTTAAAAATTTAAGGTGCATGAATATATATAATTCGAGTATAATTATAACGGGATTTAAGGCAGAACTAATGAAAGACTTGTAAGAATTTGGAAACATATTGATGAAATATTTTGATCAACAGTAGAATTAATTTTAATAATTTAATAATTTAGATATTTACAAGTTTTTTTTTTGGCTCTAGCCTTGTGTTAAACAACTTCCATTAATCGGGGAAACAGGCAGGGATATAATCAAACAATGTTTTGTGTATATTTATTTTTATTGAAATTTATTAAAAAGAAATAAATTAAAAATTTTAATAATAATTACAAAATCATAAAATATAAATTAAATAAAAAAAAATAAAATTACAAAATTTTGGAAAAAAAAACATAAAACAAAATCAAAAATATAATAAAAATATAAAATAAGTAAAATAATAAACGGAAAAAAAATTTAGTTTAATAAACAAAAATCATAATTTTATTAATAATTATAAAATAAATTCTTTGAAAAATGTTTAAAACTTAAAAAAATCATAAAAATTTGTTACATTTTATTAAAACTATTTAACCAAGTTTTAAGAGTGCATTAATTATACTACAAATAATTGTTTATTAAATATTATTAATTTAAATAAAAAAGAGGAAGATTTTTATTTATTATGAATTTTCTACTACTCTGTAATTATTTTGTTAAATATTTAAATTAAACTTGAGTGTTTTCTTTTATCTAAGTGAATTTTATAAAGTTAATTAATGTCATATTTGTTATGTTTACAGCAGGTTTATCTTTTAACCAGTTTTATTTAATTTTTATAAATTTTATAATTTATATATCAGAGAAGAGATGCAAAGTTTTTGGTTGCAACTAAATGAATTTAACTACATACAAAGTGATTTAAAAAAATTTGCTTAACGTGACCAACTAAATAGCAAATCAACCGATTGATAAACACTAAAGGTTTTACTTTTTCAAAACAACTGTTTCATTAAGAAGAAGCCCAAAAAAAATCGTTTCAAAGTTTTCTAGAAAACTTCTTGAAATTCTCCATATAAATGTGACAAAGCTTTTTTTAATAAGCTCCTCACAGTTTCTTCAGAAACTTATCAAAATCATCTCAAAGTTATCTGAAGTAAAATTTTAAAGTTTTATAAAGAAACTTGCTAAAAAGTTATCTAATGAAACTTCAAAGTTTTCTATAAAATCTTCTCCAAATATTCTCAAAAAAAACTTTTTAAAGTTTTACAAAAAAAACTTTTCAAAGTTTTTTAATGTTTTCTAAAGAAACTTATCAAAGTGTTTTGAAGAATTTCTTAAAGTTTTGTAAAGAAACTATAGAAACTTTTCAGTTTTCTAAAGAAACTTGTTAAAGCTTTCTATAGAAACTTCTCAGTTTTCTAAAGAAACTTATTCAGATTTGCTAAAGAAGCTTATGCAAGTTTTCTAAAAATGTTTGAAAAACTTTTCAGAAATTTCTAAAAAACCTTACAAAGACTTTTGAAAGTTTTCTAACGAAACTTTTCAAAGTATTCTAAAGAAATTTTTAAACTTTTAATTAAACTTCTTAAAATTTTCTTTAGAAACTTTTAAATGTATTCTAAAGAAAGTTCTCAAAGGAAAATTTCGAATGTTTTCTAAAGAAACTTTTTAAAGTTTTCTAATGAATGTTTTAAAAGTTTTTTAAAGATTTCTGAAGAAACTTGCCAAAGTTTTTAAAAGAAACTTGACAAAGTTTACTAAAGAAACTTGTCAAAGTTTTATAAAGAAACTTGTCACAACTTGTCAGAACTTTATAAAGATGCTTTTCAAAGTTTCCTAAAGAAATTTCTTAAACTTTTCAAAGTTTTCTAAAAAAGAAACATTCCAAAGCGTTTTTATAAGTTTTGTAAAGAAATTTTCTGAACAAATTTATCAAAGTTTTGTAAAGAAACTTTTCAAAGCGTTCTTATTAATGTTCTCAAAGTTTTGTAAAGAAATTTTCTAAACAAACTTTTCAAAGTTTTCTAAAGAAACTTCTCAACGTTTTCGAAAGAAACTATTCAACGCGTTCTTATAATGTTCTCAAAGTTTTGTAAAGAAAATTTCTAAACAAACTTTTCTAAAGAAGGGTTTCTCCAGTTTCTTTGGAAATACAAAATTTTGTAAATAAATTTTCTAAACAAACTTTTTAAAGTTTTCTAAAGAAATATCTCAAAGTGTTTTTAAAGAAACTTTTCGAAAGAAACTTCTCTAAGTTTTCTAAAGAAACTTTTAAAACTTCTCAAAGTTTTTATATAAAAATAAACTTTTGAAAGCGTTTTTATGAATGTTTTCAAACCTTTGTAAAGTAGTTTTCTAAATAAGTTTTTGGATTTTTTTAAGAAACTTCTGCGTTTTTATTAACGATTTATAAATACATTTTTTAAACAAGCTTTTCAAAAAAAAACTTTTCAAAGTTTCCTAAAGAAACTTTTCAAAGCATTCTTATGAATATTTTCAAAACTTTCAAACGAAATTTACTAAAAAACTTTTCGAAGTTTTCTAAAGAAACTTCTTAAAGTATTCTTAAAAAATTTCTTTAAGTTTTCTTCTGAATGTTTTCTGAAGAAACTTTTAAAGTTTTCTGAAGAAACTTTTAGAGTTTTCTAAAGAAACTTTTAAAAATTTAGCAAGTAAATTTCCTAAACAAACTTCTCGAAGTTTTCTAAATTAATTCCTCAAAGTATTTTAAAGAAACTTCTCAAAGTTTTCTAAAGAAACTTTTCAAAGTTTTTTTATAAAGAAACTTTTCTGAATAAAGTTAGCTATATAAACTTTTCAAAGTTTTGTTTTTTTTTTTCGTTGGTCACGTTTAGTTTTAATTTTACTGCTAGTACCCATCCATTGACTATAATGTTGGCGATGTTGATCATAATGACGATGATCTCAACTTGCGTCAAGACGTGATTATAGTGTCAGTCATGATCATAATTATTTGCACCATTAGTTAAGTTGTTGTGTGTGGATGTTAATTTTTTGTGTAGACAGTAGCACTTATTAACAATTAATAGCGGTAGCAATAACAAATAACGACTTAAAACACCATTTACAAAAAGTTTAAAAGTAAAAAAAAGTAAATTTTTTCGAAATTATTTAAAGAAAAATAGTTTCAGTTAATTTTTTAAAATTTTGTTTGTAAATGGTGTTTGATTCTAAATATAATGCAATAAAATATTTATTTGCTGCTTAAAGCATAATTATTTTCAAATTAAGCAATTAACAAATTGCAGTTGTTTTTTTTTTTTAATAAAAAGTAAAATTATAAAAATATAAATAAATAAAATTGTTAGTGGGCTTTTAATATGGTGTAATTTTACGAATTTTTATTATTGTTAAAAAAATTATTAATAAATTTAATGGTACATGGCGCGCTCTATAAACTCCACTGTAGGATGTAAAAAAATAATTAAGGATAACAGTGTGTGTGTATGTGTGTGGTTAACTTGATTATAAAATGGCGTTTAATGTTCCGTTACATTTTGAGATGCTCTTTTGCTTAGTTGTTTTAATGTATATGTGTTTGTAAGTGCGGATGTATGTTGTTTTATAAATTTTTAACCTCTGCTGCTGCTGTTAATTAAACATAAAATAAAAATTAATTATATTATTCAATATAGCAAATTAAAAATATAAATAAAATTATTTAACAAATAATAATTATGATAAATTGTAAAATATTGCACTATTTTATTATAAAGCTTTTAAAAAATTTCATTCACTGAGTTGGTTGTTTGTTTTTAAAATTAGTGCTTTTCTAACTACATGGTGCTTTTTTATATTTAGTTAATTTTATTAAATAATTTTGTGTTTTATCTTTTGTTAAGAGTGTTTAATTTAAATTTAAAATTTTTTAATAGAATTACTTTGTTGGGGTGGCACAAAACCATAGCCAGAGGCTCCTACAATCACACCACTGGATTCATCAATTGCGTCTGGTGGAGATGGGGGGAAGACAACGGGTCCTATAAAGTATAATAGTAAAAAATTAGTTAATATTTTCAAATAAGTTTCCTAAGTTTTCCAAAGAAACTTTTCTAAGCTTTCTAAGGAAAACTTTCAAAGTTCTCTAAAGAAAACTTTCAAAGTTCTCCAAAGAAACTTTTCTAGGGTTTTGGAGGAAAATTTTCAAAGTTTTCTAAAGAAACCTTTCTTTTTTTATGTAAAGAAACTTCTCAGTTTTCATAGTTTTCCAAAGAAAGTTTTCTAGAGAGACTTTTTAAAGCTTTCTACAGAAACTTTCTAAAGTTTTCTAGATAAACTTTTTAAAGTTATCTAGAGTAACTTTTCTAAGCTTTTCTAAGAACTTTCAAAGTTCTCTAAAGAAATTTGTCTTTTTTTTTGTAAAGAAACTTCTTAGAGTTTTGTAATGACATTTCTCAGAGTTTTCCAAAGACACTTTTCAAAGTTTTCAAAGAGAGTTTTCTAAAAACAACTTCTCATAGTTTTCCAAAGGAACTGTTTAAAGTTTCTAGAGAAACTTTTCAAAATTTTCTAAAGAAATATTTCAAAGTTCTCTAAAGAAACTTCTCGAAGAATTCTGAAGAAATTTTTAAATGTTTTCTAAAGAAACTTCTCAGAGTTTTTCTAAAGAAACTTCTCTGAGCTTTCTAAAGAAACTAAACTTTTTCCTAAGAAACTTTTTACAGATTTCTAAGGAACTTCTCAAAGTTTTCTAAGAAACATATCAAAGTTTTCTAATTAAGCTGCTTAAAGTTTTCTAAAGAAAATCTTCTTATTTTTGTAAAAAAACTTCTCAGGGTTTTCTAAAAACTGTTCATAGTTTTACAAAAGAATTTTTAAAGTTTTCTAGAGAAATTTTTCAAAAGAAATTTTTCAATGTTCTCTAAAGAAATTTCTCAAAGTTTTCTGAAGAAATTTTTAAATGTTTTCTAAAGAAATTCTTCTTATTTTTGTAAAGAAACTTCTCAGAGTTTTCCAAAGAAACTTTTCAAAGTTTTCTAGAGAAACTTTGCAAGTTCATGAAGTTTTCTAAAGAAACTTTGCAAAGTTCTGTAGAGAATTTTTTCAAAGCTTTCTAAAGAAACTTCTCAAAGTTTTCTGAAGAAATTTATTAAAGTTCTGTAAAGAAACTGTTCAAAGTTTTCTAAAGAAACTCCTTTTATTTTTGTAAAGAAACTTCTCATAGTTTTCCAAAGAAACTTTTTAAAGTTTAAAAAAATATATTTTTCAAAGCTTTCTAGAGAAATTTCTCTAAAGAAGCTGTTCAAAGTTCTTAAGAAACTTTCGATGTAAACTAAAGAAAACTTTTCTAAAGAAACTTTTCAAAGAAATTTCAAATGAAAGCTATTCAAAAAGCTAAAATTTATAAATAAAGAATGAAGCTTTCACATATAAAAAAGTTAAAAAAATACATTATACAACTTACCTCTATTTTGTCTAGGATCTCTCACTTGTGTGGGTTGTGGGAAATCCAAGGTATTGAAATTGATTTGTCTGTTGGGCAAAGGGCCGAATAAGAAATTTTGGCCAGCAACCAAAACTAAAGAAGTGCAGATGGCAAATACGATCATTAACTAAAATGGTAAAAAAAAACAAGATAAGTTTAATACATTTAAACAATAGGGAAATAACCAGACTTTGCTTTTAATTGTTTAATAAAAAATCCACCAGAAAAAAAACATACTTTCCTTAAAATGACAAAAAACAGCAAATCATTCATTTATTTAAAAAACAAAACTACCAACAACACTTTTCACCAAATTTATTACTTTAAAAACTTCATTAATCATTCACTCATTTGAAGTGTTTTAATGATAAATTTTGTGGAAAATCATTTAACAATCATCACTTTAACCTCAAGTTCAGCCCTTTAGTAAAGCAACCATTTATTAAACTATCGGCGTTTAATAACATCAACTACTTCTACTGCTACTTTTTGGCCTCTTTGAACCGTTTGGCCAAATCAACCAACCCACCAGCCTCTTACGGCTTTTTCAAATAATTTGAAAATAAAACGTAACCTGCCACTTAAGGCTTCCGCATTTGAAAGTTAAGTCAAGACTATGCACAACACTTTAGGAAACCTTGAAATATACTTTCCCAAACTCATGCCTTTAAAGCAAAAAATAAAAATCTATAAAAGATATTTATAAACATTTAAGAAATTGCTTTAACAATAACAACTATTATTTATGAAAATAAATTGAATTGAACTTCAACTTTAGTTTGGATTTATACTATTTGAGTGTTAACGTAAAGTTAAGATTTAAATATTGTTGCAGGGGTTTTTATTGGAAAAAAAGCATTAAGTTTTAATAATATTTTATAAAGATATTATTTATGATTTTAATTATTTTATGGCAAAAATACACTTAAAAGAATAATAATGTTTAGAAAGCAACATGTTTATAAACATTGTTGAATTTATAACTAAGAACATGTTGCAAATAAAATTTAAGAATAATTTTTTCTAAATTTCTTGTAAATTTCTAAAAGTGTATTTTATAACTTTAAGAAAACTAAACGTTTAATTCCAAAAAAACCTAAAAAAAACGTACCAAATGTTGTTGCTTAAATGAACAACATGTTGCACCAATGATTGTCCCAAAAAATCGACAACAAATACTAAGAAAAACAATTATTAATGAATAAACGTTAGTAAGAAAACAATGATAAGTACTAAATAGATAAAATTATGGCTCATAAAAAAAACTCCAAGACTGGTCAACTTTAATAACATTCACTTTTAGAAGGGGGTGTTACAAATACATTTTTTTCCTTTGCAACAGACCCAAATAGTTTCAACTTAACTTACAATTACAACCAAATGTTTTAATTTTTTGCTAAAACAAAAAAAACACTTCCTTGTTAATAGTTTTTATTTAGAGGAAAAGTTACGAAAAAAAAATGAACTAGATAAAAGTTTTTAGATAATAGTATTAGACAAGAGTTTAAATACTTAAGTTATAGATCAGTGTAAGTGTTGAAAGTTTAATTGTGTAATTTTTTGTTTAAATTTAAAGGCTTTTTATAGAAACGGGAAGAATAATAAGAAAATTTTTGAAATTCTAAAAATTGATGGTAAATAAAAATGTTGCTAGCAACATGTTGATAATGTAGTCTTGCGCTTAGCAACATGTCGAGACTAGTAAACACACTAGTTAATACACTAGTCAGGAGACTAGTCAATACACTAGTAAACAGACTGGTCAACTGGCTAGTTCACAGTTTAATCAATAGCCTAGTAAACAGATAAGTCCATTGACTTGCCAACAGACTAGCCAAAAGACTAATCAACAGAGTAGTCAATAGACCTGTCAATAGACTAGTCCATAGACTAGTTAGTGGAATAGGTAATAGTCTGTTGTAAACAGACTACTCAATAGACTAGTAAACAAACTAGTTAATACTTAGAGTAGTCAAGGGGCTAGTCAATATATTTGTCCATAGAATAGTCCATAGACTACTCAAGAGACTAGCCAATAAACTAATTAATAGAATAGTCAATAGACTAGACAATAGACTAGTCAATAGCCTAGTTAATAGACAAGTCAGTAGAATAGACAAATCATTACATTAGTTAATAGACTAGTCAGTCTTTAGTCCATAGATATGACTAGTCTATGGACTTGTGTATAGACAAGTCAATAGACTAGTGATAGACTATTCCAAAGACTAGTTCATAGACTAGTCATCAGACTACTCAATATACTAGTCAGTCTATAGTCTGCAGACAAGTCAATAGACCAGTCAGTAGACTAGTTAATAGACAAGTCAGTAGAATAGTCAATAGACAATTCATTAGACTAGTCAATAGACTAGTCAGTCTATAGTCCATAGATTAGTTAATAGACAAGTCAGACTAGTCAAGATACTAGTCAATATACCAGTCTATAGTCAATAGACAAGTCAGTAGAATAGTCAATAGACATGTCAGTAGAGTAGTCAATAGACTCAAGAAAGTCAAGAGAACAGCCAAGAAACTAGTCAATAGCTGAGTCAATAGACAATTCAGTGGAATAGTCAATAGATAACTTATAAGACTATAGTCAATAGTCTAGTCCAGAGACTAGTTCATAGACTAGTCCATAGACTAGTTCATAGACTAGTCCATAGACTCAATAGACTAGTCAGTATATAGTCTATAGACTAGTCAATAACAAGTCAACAGATAAGTCAATAGACCAGTTAATAGACTAGTTAATAGATAAGTCAGTAGAATAGTCCATAGACAACTCATTAGTGAATAGCCCATGGACAAGTCAAAAACTAGTAATAGACTAGTCAATAGACTAGTCAATAGACTAGTCAACAGACTAGTCAGTGGACCAGTCAACAGACTAGTCAGTGGACCAGTCTATAACCAATGGACCAGTCAAGAGACAAGTCAGTAGAATAGTCAATAGACTAGTCAGGAGACAAGTCAATGGACTAGTCAAGAGACAAGTCAGTAGAGTAGTCAACAGACCAGTCAGTAGACTAGTCAACATACTACTCAATAGACTAGATAACAGACTGGTCTATGGACTACTTCACAGTCCAGCCAAGCCTGGCTCATAGGCTTGTCAATATACCGTTGAAATGACTAGACAGTAGACTAGTTAATAAACTAATCAATAGACTAATAAAAATAATAATTTATTAAATTCTTATAAAAATCTCGCTATAATTTCCGTTTAAAGAAAAAAAATCAAGCCTGATTCTTTGTTAAGAAAACTAACACTTCTAACTTTAGTTAAAAATAAAACCAAGAAAAAAATCCCACTAATTTATAGAGACATTAATGTCCACTCTGCCAAGTTAAAAGTCATAACTTAATGTTAATGTTATTATAAATAAATTACTATATTCCAAAAATAACAATTAAAACAAGCCCAAGTATCACGTTTTATTTTTAATTTTTTTTCTTATTTTTACAACCGGAGATAAGCTTAGTAACACAAAAAAAGTCATAAAAAAGATATAATAAAAATAAAATTATGACTAATTTTTAAGAAAATTAAACAAACAAGGAAATGTTTAGAAAAAAAAAAACAATTTGAAAAATTCCATTACTATAGGGCAGATATTTAAAAAACAATAAATGAATGAATGATTTTTTTTTATTGAAAATAATGTTTAAATTTGTACGCCACATGTAGTTGCATGGTTTAAGTATTGTATTTGTAGATATAGATCGATTTTTTTAAATCAAAATGCATTTAAAATTCTTGGTTTTTTATTGTATCTATGTAATGCATATTTAAAGTTTTAAGTGTATTAGTGAAGGCATTTTTTAACTTTAAATAATTTATCAGCATTTAATCATAAAAAAATCTATTTAAAAAGAACATTTAACAAGCATTTTAGAGTGGGTGGGTGTTTAAAGAAAATTAACATTAATACACCTAGAGAAACAATTTCAAAAATTCAACAATATTATGCTAAATTTAATCATATCTCTATTTGTTGCAACCATATTACATTAAATTCAAATGGCTACCGTAATCGTAATATATGACTTACAACAATAAAACTGAAAGTATACTTGGTTACTGTAATCATTTAACTGGAGGATTTAACATATTATGGTTAAGACAATTAAAAATATGATGACTGTGAGCTCTCAATGATTGCTGTAACCATTTTTAACTACATTTTGATTCAATTTTATAGTATTGATAATATTCGAAAAAATTTCTAGTTTAATGTTTTAAAGATTTAACTTTCACTTTGGGAATATTCACGAATAAAAATGATTCAATAAATTTTTGGAATAAAAACGATTCTAAAAATTCTGGGAATAAGAACCAAATTTGTTCTTTTATGTTTTGAGTTCTAATCTAGTTCAGTTCTAGTTCAGTTCTAATTCAGTTCTAGTTCAGTTCTAGTTCAGTTCTAGTTCAGTTCTAGTTCAGTTCTAGTTCAGTTCTAGTTCAGTTCTAGTTCAGTTCTAGTTCAGTTCTAGTTCAGTTCTAGTTCAGTTCTAGTTCAGTTCTAGTTCAGTTCTAGTTCAGTTCTAGTTCAGTTCTAGTTCAGTTCTAGTTCAGTTCTAGTTCAGTTCTAGTTCAGTTCTAGTTCAGTTCTAGTTCAGTTCTAGTTCAGTTCTAGTTCAGTTCTAGTTCAGTTCTAGTTCAGTTCTAGTTCAGTTCTAGTTCAGTTCTAGTTCAGTTCTAGTTCAGTTCTAGTTCAGTTCTAGTTCAGTTCTAGTTCAGTTCTAGTTCAGTTCTAGTTCAGTTCTAGTTCAGTTCTAGTTCAGTTCTAGTTCAGTTCTAGTTCAGTTCTAGTTCAGTTCTAGTTCAGTTCTAGTTCAGTTCTAGTTCAGTTCTAGTTCAGTTCTAGTTCAGTTCTAGTTCAGTTCTAGTTCAGTTCTAGTTCAGTTCTAGTTCAGTTCTAGTTCAGTTTTAGTTCAGTTTTAGTTCAGTTCTAGTTCAGTTCTAGTTCAGTTGGAAACACCTTTCTATAAAATTTCCCCAGTGTACATAATTTAATTCCTTAATAGACCAGACCGAACTTGTTCAACAAAATCACTTCACTTTAAAGCTGAAGTCCATTCAAGTCTTTTTAAAAAAGTTAACATAAACAAGCTCTCTAT